AATATTTAAATATATTATTGAGGAACTATTGTTAATTGTACATCCATTTATTATTTTAACAGCTAAGCATAAAGTGTTGTTAATAAAAACGATGAAAATAAGATAATGTATAATTCATCCATAACTTATAACTCAACTACATACTGAAATTAAGACAATTAAAATGAGCCGTTACAAGTACATCCGAAACGTAAAAAGGTCAAAATATCAGCAAGATTTATTGAATAATATGATAATATTTTCGAGTAACATTAAACTATTATTATTATTATCATACGGCTTATTTTGGCTGAAAATTTCTATGTTCGGTGTTTCTCTAGATAATTGCTTTGGTATGTCCTATTTTTTTATTGTACTAATATCGTAAAAAAATCATTACCTACAAAATAAAACATTTTACATATTTTTTTTGTGTTGATACATTGTATGTGACATGTGCCCAATGTAAATGATTTACCCATCCGTAGCTGACTCATGTGAGTAGTTACCGAATAATACTTATACAATTCCCAGTTGTATTTTTTAAAAACTATTAATATGATTCTATTAATAAAGATTCTATTAAACCACACCTGCACAATTCATTATAGATAAAATATATATCTAAGAATTAATAATAGATAGTTAAATATGTGATATTTAAATAATTGGAAATAACATATATTATACATGTAGATCTAAAAAAAAAAAATACAATTTGTGGTCGTGGGTCTCATGATCATGATCAACATTCGACGTTCTTATTATATAAGAAATACAATTTATTTTTCTTATTTAAAATTACAAATTACTGTCTTGGGTTTAAACATAAAGTGTTAATATTTTATAACACTCACTAAATATTGTTCAATCAAACTGTTTATGTTGTAAAAAATATTTTGTTGATGCCATTGATTCGTTAAACTATAATTATTGCAGATGATCACTTTATACAATTGTGATGGGTAAAGTGAAACAGTAACCGATCGGGTGGCGATGTGATCAGGCAAGCGATGCTCGTTCAGGCAAAAAAGGGTCAGGGCCATTTTACTCGTTATACATAACAAAAGTGTCTGTCAACAGTGTGACAGTTTTGTGTAGATTACATGGAAAAGTTAATTGAATATGCTCTATTTGAAAGAACTCTTTATATGTGTCCTCAAAAGGGGTTGCAGAATCTGCATGTTTCATAAAACATAGTTCTAATGTTTCCAAAAGCTTAAATAAATAATTGTTCGGATGGGTTAAGAACCCTCTTGTTTTTAAGTTGACTAAATCTGCAGCTGGATTTGTCGATATTCCATAATTGGTTTGTAAACTTTTAACGCAAACCTCACACTTTGTGGTCTTCAATAATCTCTTGGTTATATAACTAAAAATTTAAATTATAATAAATACAAATAAAATAATAAATAGATAAGTTTATGAACACGGTTAATTTGTATGTACCCAGCTATAAAATAAACTGCACATTCAAAAGCTGTAGAATCAATACAGCTGTAACTATGGTCTTTATAAACACCATCAAAATTCCAAAGCCCTTCTTTAACTATTGCATACATTTTTTGTTTCAAATCTTCTATATTTTTTTTTTTGCTTTCTATTACATTGCTTGAATCATTTAATATACTTTTTAAATCAGCAATAGTAATAATTGGAACTTTTTCTATGTTATATTAAAGTATAATTTTTTACTCGAATTAGAAAAAAACATTACATAAAATAGAACTACAATAATACTACATGCCATACCATCCAATATACAACAGTTTCCAGACTTAGGAGGCTTGATTATAGAATATACTAACAACATCCTGTATAAATGTAAGTAAGGTTGGTGTTGCGGGGTGGTCATTTGGACCTGCTACCTGTCTAATAATTCCAAAAAGTTTCTGAAAATACATTTTTTTTTTAGAAATAATTAATGTTTTAATATATTTTAGAATAATTTATAGAGTATATATCATGACCTCTAAACAATCCTTATTTGTTTTGTATGTTAAATCATAATTAAAATTACAAGTATCAGGTAGATACCTAACTGACCAAATCTATTTTGATTGTTGATTGATTGTTATTTTAAGGCCTTCTGTGATTTGCTTCATCAAAAATTCATCCTCCGTTAGCAACTTATTTGTCAGATTTAATTCCCAGGTGTTCAGATACACTAATGCGTTTTGTAGAACTTTAAAATAAAATAAAATAAATTTCTACATTACAATAAATTATATACATTAGATAATTAAAGTTTTTTAAATAATTTAATTATTTTCTAATATAAGTGTCATAGTTTTTACAAATAAAAACGTGCAATACAAATTGAATAAAATTAAACCTCTATATCTTGATTGTTGTTTTTAATGCCTTCAGCTGGGAATTGTCCGTTAAGTGCATCAAATAAATCGTTCATAAGCAATGTGAAGTTTATGGTTTCTTCACATTCTTCGAACCCTGGGTAGTTTTTTTTTAAGAACTGTATGCCATCAGTTTTTACCTTATCTGCAACATTAAACATCCAATTTTCGTTGTAACGTCTATTTTTAGGGTTTTTAAATTTAGCTGCTGCAAATATTTCTCTAATCAATTGTGACTGACCATGAGAAATATTTGAATTATTTAGTACATCATCTAACTTATGCTGGTCTATATTTTTTATTTCATTTTTTATTGTGTTTAAATAATTTTGTAATTTTTTTACTAGCTCGGGAATTTCTTTTTTTAATGATATTTGCAAAATATACTTGAAATCTTTTTTGTTTGTTAGGAGAAAAATTAGACTTTATATTTTGTCCATTTTTTTTAATACAGTACAAAAGACGTTTACACGAGAGACAAATATTTGAATTACTGTAATGAGACCATAGGCATTATAAATATATATTAGAAGTCCATCCAAATTACAAAGTACAAATTATATGGTTATGTATTTTTATATTATTATTTAAACTTTCACCTATCCTCTGTAATTATGGTTGAACGGTTCATATATCTCCATTGACCATATGATTCTACATATTGAACATCAAATGAAGACTTAACATCTAGGTAATTGGTAGAAGAAATAGCTCCTTGGCAACATTTCATTATTTCGAGTGAATTTAAAACTAACTGAATTTGAACCAAGTTGTAAACTTGGCTGAACTCAAGGCCAATTTTAGAAGGCTCTAATAATTTGCCATTCATTTTTTAGAATTATTTTAGAATCCAAATACAAGTTACATTTTATTTTAAAATGTAACCTTTTTTTCAAAAAAATTATAAAAATATTAAATTAATGTATGTATAAATTTAGGTATGCTATTTTTTTTAAAGTTGAGTTGTGAAATTATAAATACCTTGTATAATAATGAGCTGTTTTTCAACATTTTTAGTGTAATTGCTTTTAAACAAACTCAATGAGTGGAAAGCAATCACAGAAATGTTGTTATTTTTGCTATAAAACCAGTTAGTTGGTAAATCCGACATATTTATATTCTCTAAGAGTAATTGATATAAAGATGGTGTTTTTAAATCAGTATCAATCTAATTTTTTTTTTAAATAACACTTTAATAGAAAATTATAAAATAAATGAAGTTATAAAAAGTAGTTTGTAGATTGCTAGTACCTATCTGATGTCATATACTGCCGTATAGCTGTTATGATCTAACTATCTCATATGGAAATAATGTCAAACTGTTATTATGTGTACTACCTAGTAAATTTATGGGTACAGTATCTTTTTTCAATTGTAATCTTTTTAAAGCAACTTTTTAAATTAGACATAGCTATGGTTATTAAATGAAAATTTACAACTACAAAAACACTCAATGTTTACTTACAGTATATTTACTACATCCATGACCCGAATGTGTTTAACACATACTCAGTGACTTTTTTAAAGTTATAGGAATGCTTCTTCCTATAATAGCTTTCTGTATGCATCTTGAGGCAACCCAAAAAGGGTTAAAAAAGGTATCGCGAGGAATAGATACACAACAGTAACTTGGCCTTTTTAAAAATAATAACAAAACTTTTAAATTATAAAGTTCAAAAACAAATGTATGATATTATAATACGTAGGTCATTTTATTAGAAACATTGGCCAAAACGTGAATTACGAGGGAACAGGCTTAAGTTTTATTAATAATATTTATCTAGTTAATAAAGTAATAACCTGATTAGGTTATAACAAATATATATGTAATATATATTTATATATATATATATTATTAACACATTATTTTCTAGTTATCACTGAAAATAATTTAAAATAGATAAATCGAATTATATACGAATATTAAATTGTTTAAAAGTAATTATATGTAATCATTCATAAAAGGGGTTGTGTTCAAAATGTAGGTAATTATTATTAGGAAAAAAAACTGTATAACCTGAAAAAAATATATAAAAAGTATTTTTTAATTCTGATGCATATTATACTTTTATAAATTTGTTAATAACAATAATAGTTCAACCAACACAAAGTGATTCAATTAAATGCTTAGCCCTATGAATTTAGTCATTTTCATATAATAATGAATTAACCCCTTCATAAATAAAACTATTATAAATGGGTTTGTGTACAAAAGAGCGATATAAACCAAAATTACTTGGCTAACGTTTTTGATTAATTTTTACTTCTTTCAAACATATTTTTATATAAATATAAAAATCATTAATAATTTTTTTAGTACTATTCAAAAGTATGTAACCTAAAGGTTTAAAACGTCATATAACATATATCATAATATAAAATACCTACCAATATATTATGTAAATAATATCATATAGGTACATACTTACAATCATTATTTATACAGTTTTTATTGGAAGTTATATCTATTGTCCCAATAGGCTTTTGTTCCACAAAACATTTGGAACAAATGTTCATTGGAAGAAAAAATTTGCGGAGCAAATATTACCCACCCAAAATCGATAACGACAGCTGCGGCGACGCTTGTGGCACGACAATAAGCTACTACAGAACGACACAACGCCTACTCACCAATTGGCCACGATAAACATGATAATAAGCTTATTTTCGCGAAGGTACCGAAAGCAGCTATCATTATTTGGATGGACGAAATCCAGTCGATCGATAATTATTTCCTTACTGGGTGTCCTTTTGGACACGGAAAACATACTTAAGTTACTTAAGTATGTTAAAGATAAATACGCGTAGCCCTATAGTATATTGTTTGTTCCTATTCTGATCACAGTTCAATGTTCACCATCAAAGACCGATTCTAGTCATCGTGTGCTGTAAACAGTTAAATTCCCGTCGCTACACTACTGGTTGTCAAACAAGTGGAACGATTTGCTCATTGAAATTTATAGACTTGACTTAAGTAAGTGTTTAAGATAAGCTGTTAAATACAATTAACAACACAAATTATTACCATGATTAATATTATCATTATAATAAATAAGGACATTAAAAAACACAAGCACAAAATATAAGGACTCAATTTTTTTTATTAATGTGGCAAATTTTATAAAATAATAATTGAAATAATGACAAAAAACAAGGATTACCAATTTGTTTCATTTTACTAATTACACATTGATAGTTACAAGTCAAAAAGCACAAAACGTTTCATTGCCCGCCCAGTCAGTTAAAAATGCTGATCCATGTTTAGGGTATAAAGCCAGGTCCACACAGAGATTTTAAAAAAACAAAACCAAAACTCAACTTTTTTCTTTTTATAAAAAACGAAACTGTAAAAAAACTTTTGTCCAGACTGAATTCACAAAAAACCTCAACAAATCATGAACAAAAATGTAAATACTTTGTTTGTGTTGGGTTTATTTTCATCTAGCCATTCTGAAAATATTGTTTTAAAAAAATATGGTTTATATACTTTTATTCACAGTCGTTTAGTCTTTTCGGTTCTTGGTTCATTCGTTTTTATTTTAATAATTAAATTGTTTAAATAATTAAAATAACAATGTGGAAACTGAAAAGAGATATTGAAGATGAGGAAGATATACTAATGTTGGGTGCTGGATATATTTATTTAAATGTTCAAAATAAATAAAATAAAAATAATAGACGTTCTTGGGAAGACCAACGTTACAAAAAAGAAATGTATATGAATCAATGAACTTAAAAGATTTACGGGATGATGACATTGGTATAATATAACAAGTTATTAATATAACTTGTTTTTTTATTTTTTAACACATTAATATTTAATTACAATTAACAATTAATATTTAAACACAATTTTATGTCCACACCGATCCATAGTGTTCATGAAAACAAAAACATCTATAAAATTTCGCACCACGAACGGGACATGGTTATGTTCTTCAAAAACAGAACATTTTGTTGAAAAAAACAAAATTGTTTGGAAATAGTAAAAAAACATTGTGTTTTTGTTTTGTTTTAATATTGTACGACTATTTGTAATTTGAAATATCCTTCCAAAAATAAGTTTTTATTAAATCTGAAAACTACGGAAAATTTTGCTTAATCCTTTTGTCTCATTTCTCCAATTATTACACTAATTATATGTGTATATTAATATTTTTATAATTTTGTGTTTGAAATATAATTTAGAGCACAATACACTTCTTCAGAATGTCTTTAAGTTCTCTTGGCGATAATGGCACATCATTATCAGATCATTATAAAAACTTTTATAATTTATTTAAGTGAGTTAACTTAATATATATTATCCTAGCGTTAATGTAAAAACTTAATCACAATACATTTACAGAAAGAACACACCACCCGATATAAACTTGGTAACAGATGATGGTGTACAATTAGCTGCTCATAAACTTATTTTGGCTTCAGCCAGTTCTTGGTTTGAAGTCCTGTTCTACGGTGGCTTTAAAAAAAATAATCAAAGTAACGTGACCGTAAACGAAATCGAGTCTGATGTTTTAAGATCTATCCTGACGTACGTGTACACATTCAAACTAGACATAAAAGATAATAATATCGAGGTAGTATGCATAATATCTTTATAACATAACATTATTGTTTTATATTTTATCATAGAACTTTCTTTTTTTTAGAAACTGTTAAAAGCTGCTGATTGTTATCAATTTAATAATGTGAAAAAGTTATGTTATGATTTTATTAAAGAGAAAATGAACAATTCAAATTGCATGACGTTCTTGAAATATGCTAATCCTATATCACACAAAGAACTTCACAATTTCTGTTTTCATTATATTTTAATGAACTTCGAGTGAGTAATACACCATTATTGAAATATATATTTTATTTAAGGGGCAATAAAAAACTTAAAAAAACATTTTAAACTTATTTTTTTATAGAAATCTTATTCTGAATTCGGAATTTGGTTTGGACAGACTATATGAATCAAATTTTGATGATTTCGTCGAGTTCATATCCAACGATTATTTAGATATTGAATCGGAAGAAGTGGTATAGTATTTTAATTTTAACAACATAAAATAGTTTTTTTTATTAAAATAATGTTTAATGTTACTTTAAAATTTCACCGATTTCAGTCCGGTTAAATTACCTAACTAAAAACATAAGTAATCGTTTTAGTTATTCAAATATTTTTTAGCACGGAACTTTAGTTTTGGCCTCCCAGCTTGAAAACCGCACAAAATAGCGTCACTAGAGTAGCGCATCTACTTTAAACGTATAATATAACAAATTGTCGTCGTCGTGCAAACGTTTTGACCAGAACGATTTTCAATTGATATGTCCTTCAGTTTGTTTTAGTTATTACTAGTAATTTAATAAGGATGTTGTCCAAAAGCAAAGTATACATTTTTTAATTAGATTTTTTTGTATATTAAACAAATTACGGCATTGTATAGGTTAAATTTCAGAAGTTGAGAAGGTATTTTTTAAAAACACGTTTTGTTATGTCAGCCGAAGCTTCTTGCCATTTACTTACACATGGCTTCGGAAAGAATCGGAAAGATAGCATTATAACTTTTCAAACGAACAAAAACTCCAAAAATTCAGATCTCGACCAAAATGAATAATATGTTTAATGCATTGATAAAAAATATGGATTAAATTTAATGCCACTTCGATATTAGATATTGCTCAACTCTCATCATACATTTTGTTTGTATTAGTACTGGTGTGAATAATTCTAGACCAAAACATTTTTTTTTTTTTAACTTTGACATTTATAATACGTTTTTATTTTAAAAGATTTTCATTTATTTGATGTTGTAAAATGTGTTTTTTAGGTTTTTGAGTTGATCATCGGTTGGATAAATTATAACTTATATGAACGCAAGGACTGTTTACCTGAACTACTAAAGTATTTGAGATTACCATTGATTCCTAAACACAAATTGAAACGCATAACTACTGAACGTTTAGTGAAAAGAAACAAAGATTGTAATTGCCTTCAAAATGATTATTAAAATTCGGTTTACCGTGTAATAATATTTGTTTATTTTAATTACTTATTTATTAGATTTGGTTGACTTTTTGAAAGAAATTGATAATATCCGTGCTGATTTAAATATTTCTAACGCAACACAAAGACCACCTTATGCACATGTATCGAATGTATGTTAAAAATATTCAAAAACTAGCAAAATAAATTAGTTTGACAGTCGGAAACATTAATCTATGTGTTTTGTGTTCAGATTATTTTTGCTATAAAAGGTGTATCGGGCGATGAAGACGGCTATATCAAGTATCTAGATTTGAGAGACGAGGAGAATCTAAATTGGAAATTTTGTGATTTTTCGTTTTTTCGCCCACGTCGCTATTGTTCCGTTTTAGTGTTCTCGAGTAAAGGTGTGATATTTGCAATTGGCGGTTTCGAGGAACCTAATAAGTGGACGAATCACGTAGACGCACTGGATCTTAGTTCAACGGCGAAAAATTGGGTGTCTGTAACACCCATGAAGACTGTCCGAAGAAACTTCGCTGTTAGCGTTCATGGAAACTTCATATTCGTTGTAAGTTGTAATAACTAAATGGCAATTGTTGTCAAACTGAACATTTTTTATGTAATCATAATAATTAATTCTGTACAGATTGGAGGTGAAGATAAACACAGGAATACATTAGCTTCGGTAGAATATTACGACACAGAATTTAAAGTTTGGAAGAAATTACCAAAATCGATGCCTACCCCTCGTAAATATTGCAAATCTATCATCCATAATAATTGTTTATTTGTCGTAAGTTTATTTTGCTCTTCGATTCCATGCATATACTATTAAACATCAACGACTAATATATTTCTAAAAATATAACCTTTCGATGTTTGTTTATTGGATCTATTTCGATCAGTTGTAGTGAACTAATATAACTGACCTAAGTAGTTCCAGTAAACAAATATCTAAAGGTTATACTTGTTATGTAATGTTCTGTGTAGTTTGGCGGTATAAACGACAAAATGATGCTTAAAAGCGTAGATTGCTACAATTTAAAAAATAAGCGATGGATAACACTCGGTTCTATGCCAGCGCCCAAATGTTCTATGGCCATGGCGGTGGGAAAGAATGTCCTTTATCTCATTGGCGGGGGATTGGGCATATTTCCATATTCATCTGAAAAGAGTGTTTTCAAATTTGATTTAAAAAATCATAAATGGACCGTGCTACCAGAAATGAACGAACCCAGGTTCAACGCAAGTCAGTGCTGTTATACATTAGTTTAATTAAATAGTCAACTGTGTCGTGTAATATTATGTTATGTTTTCAAAACAGACGGTGTCCTTATTAAAAACGATTTATTCGTTTTTGGAGGAGTACAGTTTGACGAGCCCAAACCAACGGTAGCGTCATTAAGTGAGAAATATAATTCCGATAAAAAAGAATGGAAGTTTACTAAATCGGCCAACGTGTTATTCGCCTATAATCATGCGTTTTGTCTAAACGATATGAAACTAAAAGCATTTGGAATTAACATTTAAAAATGTCCTCAAATTAGTGTAATAATTAACTATTGTTGTATTGAACCGTTTCCAATTGTAATTTAATGTACTTTAGGGCATATCATGATTGTCTCACAGATTTGCAAAACAACTTATTGTGTAGGTAAATATGTCAGCCTATGGTGATACACCCTGTAAGTATATTAGCTACTTTTATTATAAGCTAATATTATTGTTTATTTATTTTGATGTGATCCTATTCGACAAGTATATCATGTGATACTTAATAAGTAACTTTTTTTTTATGTCTATCGTTTGTTACCTTTGGCAATATAATAATTTATACTCTACTATTTCTAATGTGTAAATATGTTGACAATAATTGTTTATGAAATAATTTTGTATGCGTATAAAGTGATTCACAAAATGCAAAGGGGAAACTATATTTTTTTTATACATAACCTTACAAACAAATTTATTATTTAATCATAAAAATAAAAATATTTAGGGGAAAATGTCGTAAATATATATTATATTAGGGCGGTTAAAAAACTTTACTATGATCTAAAAAAAAATTTAGATTTAAAATAAACATACCCGAAATATAAAAACATTATCAATGGGGTGGCATTTTTATTGTTTTGATGTCTATACTTAATATTTTTTTTTAAGAAACCGTGCTGCGATCCCCTTAATGTTATTTTAACTTTGTGTTACTTCTTGCTGAACAATTTTAAACTTGTTTTTACTCAGACGAATCCATGCGAAAAAATCTTGGTCATCCCATATAGTTAAGTGGTCAATTTTTGTCGACAATAAATAAGGTCTTCGAATTTCGTTGAAATATTGGTTTATAATATATAACCTAAAAAATAAACTTCTTCGTCACTATTATTGTCGCTACTACTGCTACTAATCTAATTATTTCAGTTATCTAGAATTAAATAAGCATACAATTTATATAAAATGTGTAGGTAATACAATATTTATAATTTAAGCATTCGTTTTGAATTAAATTGGTATTTACATTGAAATAATTGCCTACAATGTAACTGTTAATTCTATTTTTTGTTACATGCAATCATAAAGTATACCTCATCACTATAATTCGATAAAAAAAATTTTAATGTGTAAAAGCAAATAACTAATAATAATATAGGAATATTATGTTATAAAACACTAGTAGATATTTCAGTAAAATGAAATATTACTTGATAATTTTGATACTAATCTTAATTCTCAGTTTAAAGTTTTTAATTGACCATAATATGCTACCTAACTTAAACTGTGATTAAGATAGCTAAAATTTAACCGAAGAGTCAATATATAAAGTCAATTTTTTAGTTTAACAAAGATTAACAACAAACAAAGTTTAAATTATTTTAACAGGTGATTGATAAAATGACCCAAGTATACTATATTTGTATCGATAAAGTAACAGAGTGAATAAGTATTACCAATTTAAAGTTTATATTATATTTTTATATAAATAAGTTGTTGGGTCATGTCAGTGTAAATGGAATTTAAGGTCAATGTAAATGTCCTAAAAACTAGCGAAATCATAACATTAAGATTTTTTGGTAAGTATTATGTCGATGTAACTGGAATTCGAGGTAAATGTAATTCGAAGCAATAATTAAAAATGGAACTTCGATCCCAGTGTGCAATATAGTGATTTAAGCGTTTATAACACGCTGATAGCTCCAATATAAACAGTGGATACAGAGTTTAAATACTGTTTAAACGTTTATTATATGTGGATATCATGATGTATTTAAAGTTCATACAATCAGCGCTTAATCAACCATCAATGTTTATTTTGCAATTCCATACAATTTCGACATTTATTAAGCGTTGAAACACACATTGTCATAAGCGACAAATAAACACCTTATAAGCAGTATATTATCAACTTAATAAACATGTATTAAAAGTTTGTTTTCCATATAAATTAGACATTTAATGAACATTTAATCACCTATTATATAATAGGCTTTATATGTATATAAAATTGTAAATTGTTGAAAAATACAGTTTTACACATTTATCAATAAACACTTTTATTTAGCAGCTGTATACACAATATAATATTATTTAAATAAATATAATAAAAACAAATTATTATATAATAACAAATATCCAATGAACACCAGTGCTGCTGGTTAGGGTTGCTTGGTTTGTGCGCTCCGGTTCTTGGCCTGACGCAGCCATAATCCAAGATAGTTTTTGTACTCATTAGTGGTTATCTCTTGCATTAGGAATACTACTTCTGAAAATCGAAAATAATTTTTAGAGTACCTATTTTGACCAGATCGTTTTTAATAGTTCTTTCTACAATAGTTTAAAATTTAATAATAATTTTAAGAACATTTTTTTTTTGTTGTGTGCTTCTTTAATAAAAAACAATTATGTAAGTTACAGATCCTAAATTATCTTTTAATTGATTCATATTCTTTTCAATAATGTGTAGTCACTAAAAAAAAAAAAATTGTAAATGTTAAAAGCCTACGCTAGCCTACTCCCAGTCTAATTTTCATTCCTGTAATGAGAAAGAGTTTATTTTATTTTCTTAGTTTTTCATTAAAATCCAAAGTACAACATCTAAAGAATATCGTACACAAATTTGGTACCAATTTTAAAATAATTTATATATTTTTATTTTCATCATCTACAGTTTTGCATCAAAGCATTTGGTGGAAACATTTGTTTATAAGACCTGTGACCTTCCCAACTCCACTAAACTTTGTCCTCACCGAGTTGGCTTTTTTAAATATCTAATAAATTTATGTTTAGAATAACTATTATTTCATTTATATTTATGCTACCCTACCAAACTAAAATAACTGATAAATTAAGTTCTAAGAACACATATTAAATATAATATTAATTTAAAATAGCTACAATTTCGACAAAAATAGGAAAAGCCCTGTAAAAACATTAAAAAAATTAGGTAACATCCTAGGTTTGCAGGCTACAGTCTAGGTGGAGGTCACAGTTGTAAAGATAAGTCAAGTTTAAATTTAATAAATAAAGTTAAACATTGGTGTTTCCTATCGAGGTACATAAAATTTTTTTGCACATCTTTTCAACTAAAATTTAGAATCTGTAAGTTATAAGAAAATCTGACCTCGTTATGAGCGACCGGAACATAATTATATCTGTGTTACATTTTTAGGACCGCCAGTTAACATAATTGGTTGGCATCTATAAATGTGAACATTACATTCCATATCTTCATTTATTGTTGTAATTTCTTAATGTTTCTAATAAATTGTAATTATAAACGTATTAAAATATAGCGAAAAACTGTTACGTTTAAAAATGTTACATATCTAAGCGACAAACTATTTTTAACAATCAATATTTATTTATATTGAAATATATTTTTATTATATAACAGCCAAGTCGTTAACTAGATTAACAAATTGATTGATAATTGAAGAAATTTTTTTTGTAAGATAAAATTGTAAACTTGCTATAGGTTAACGATTTTTGACATTTTTATGTCTTTGCCATGGCACACACACGGAAAAACGACACAGACACCGGTTATCATAACGAAAAATAACAGCTGATTTATCTGATAAGAGAGATAAGTGATAAAGGGTGAGAGATAGGGATAAGAGATAAGAATTTTGGTTGGGTATGGGGGTGGGAGCATATATGTTGTATTCACAACGTTCAAAATAGAAATGAATAATAAATTCAACAATAATTTAAGGGGCCTAATTATCTATGAATTATTTTGGGCCAGATATTATGAAAACACTAAAATATTAGCCAGAAACTTGATATGTTTACTATAGTACGGCCAACGAAAAGTGAGCCGCGATCGTCACGCAACTAGTGGCCGTTTTTTGCTAGGGTTTCTCCGCCTATTTCCCGCGTAAAATAATTTGAAAACATCTATTTTAAATTATTATTTTTTATATTAAAATAATTGATGGTTAATTAACTGATTATAATTGATTAACTAATTTTACTTAATCATCTTAATAATTAAACACAAATTATTCCTATAACTAAAAAAAATATATATAAAATGTATAAAAATAAATCTAATTAAATTGATAAAAAAATATGATGTTTCGTTTTAATACCGATATAAATATTATTTTATTTCTAAAAAAGTTCATCACCCTCATCATCTTCATCACTAGAACTACTTTCGTGGGGATTTAATGTAATGATTATGGGTTCTAAAATATCATCACGTAGCCCCTCTTTTAAGAAATCGCCTTCTTGCAACTTAACAGAGTGTTCACCGCATTTCGCCCAATCATTCACCGTCACCTCGTTCAAAGCATTGTTAACTAACATTTCAACGTCCGCCATCTTAAAGCTGTTGTTTTTAGCAGCAACTTGCCCCTTCACTTGCGCCCAAATCAACTCTATAGGGTTGTACTGACAATGGTAAGGCGGAAGCCTTACCACTTCATGCCCCATTTGGAGAGCAAGCTCATCAAGTTTGTACTTTTTTTGATTCGGTAAAGCCAACCTAACCTTTTCTCGTAATTCTATTACTCTATCTAGAGAAGAAAAAGCTATAGATTCTTTTTAACCGCGCTTGTAACTCTGCCTTACTAGAAATTGATTTAGGGTAGTCTTCCATTAAAACCGAGTGATACGACGCATTGTCCATTACTATTATACAAGGCTCTTCCAAATGACCTAGCATATCTTTAAACCACTTCTCAAATATTATTGCATTCATTTGAGAATGGTAATCTTCCTCTCTACCGGATTTACATCGAAATACCAATTTCGAGTCTTTAACAAAACCAAACGAAGGCGACCCGGCGTGACAAATAATAAGACGATGGCCCTTTCCTATAGGCACTTTTAAACCCTCGGTATTTTCGGAATTTTGCCATATTTGCACCCTCGTATGGTTTTGATTTACCCAGGTCTCATCTAGGTAAACCACTGGTCTGGTGTCATTATTACGGCGAAACTCGTTCATTTTCCGTAAAAATTTTACCCGTGCTAAAACAATATCATGACGTTCCATTAGAAATTTGCGCCCGTCATTGCATTTTTTGTACTTAAAATTTAATTTTTTTAAAGCGTTTTTACTGACGATTTTGACCAGGAACAATTAATTTTATCACGCATAGCAGATAGTATTTTAGCGCTTGTTGGGAATTCGCTATTATCATAGAAACTATGGACCGTTCTTCGAACTACCTCGTTGTCGAAATCATCAAGACCAATTGCATACTTTCCACGACTATATGATTTTCTTGGTGACTTAAAGGAAATGGCACTGGACGGTCTAGGACCGTCAAGCTCTCTCTCTCTTTGGGAAGTTTTTTTGCCCTCTGCACATACCCGTTTTACACACGCAAGACTCACCCCACACATTTCAGCAGTTACTTCGCG